TCGTGATTTGACTGATCATTTTAGGGGAAACATTAATTAGAGGGATGGCGGTTTCATATATACAGAGAGATATAGATATAGAGATATATGTCTATATCTATACATGATAACAGATAGACAGACACAGATAGAGATACTGATATCATGACCACAGATGAGAATGTATTTAATGGAGAAATAGACTTACAAATATTTGCTTTAAAAATATACTTGCTTTATATTTTAAAGTAATACATGAAGGTAGGAAGAGTGGCTGTGATTTCTTCAACCAAAACAATCTCCAAAGAAGCAGAATAAGATTAAATGCAATGCTTTCTTCCCTAACAGGAAAAACCAGGACAAAAGAAAAGTATCGTGTAGTTTACACAGATCATCAAAGGTTGGAGCTGGAAAAGGAATTCCACTGCAATAGATACATCACTATCCGAAGAAAATCAGAGCTGGCAGTTAACCTGGGCCTTTCTGAGAGACAGGTATACCAGAAGTACACTCAACATGTCCCATATAGTGATTTAAATAGGCTAAAGTTTTAGGGAAGTCTATAAGCAGGGATGGAGGCAAAACAGAGGACCAAGACATTCTCCAAGCTTTCCTAAAGCCTACTTTCATCCTTTTGGACCTGGGCACCTTGTGGGTATGGAAGCAAAGGATAAGGGCTTAGGAGGTGGAGAGGAATTACAACTCCAATGGAGTTAATCAAGCAAGTCAAAACTTTTATCTGGTTCCCCAAGTAGTCACAACCAATGTGTGAAGTGGAGATTTGGCAACCGAGGCAATTATCTGGTTCATATTAGTAAAACGCCAACTGTAACTGGACACCAATGCTGCTCCCTGAACCAAGTTTTTAAGTTATTTGGGGTTGGAAATTTAATTTAATTTTCTATGGTCTACATAATTCTATGATGCCTCCCTCAAATTTAGCTTTTTGTGAGTACTCAATGAAGATTAAATCATGGGAAGGATCAACAGTTTCCATTTACTCAAATTTTGAAAGTATATACTACCTCATGTTTTTTCACTGAAGTCTAGGAATAATCCTGGAATCATAGAATTCTAGAATTGTAAAGTCCATTAATGTATTGCCTTAACCCAAGCAGCTTGCTTTTCATTCATGTGTAAAGGCACATTGGTATCACTCTGGTATTTGTCTCCGTCAAGAAATATATAGTATTTCATGACCCTCATTCACTGAGTTCTATGTTTTCATTAATCTTTTACTTTTAGGAAGTTTCCCTTAGTGACTGATTTAATTATCTTTGCTATTTAAATCCCTCCCTCTTATTGGTACTCCTCAGCATTTAGGAGGTGGGTGAGGTGTAATGTAAAGAGCACTGCATTCAGAGTCAGTCAGTAGCCCTAGACTTGCTCTCAGTTTTATTTCTTGCAAGGTACTTACTCTGTCTGAGTCTCAGCTTTTTTCTTTAAATATGTTAAGTCAGCATACTTCACAAGGCTCAAATGAAGTGATACACATGAAAGAGCTTTGTAAATGCTAAAGTACCTGTACAATATTAGCAATCACTATGTTAACTGCATTCAGTATGTAACCCCATTAAATACAAAGCTTTTTGTGTTTCAGGTGAAAATCTGGTTTCAGAATCGCAGAGCCAAGGAGAGAAAAATGATCAAAAAGAAAATCTCCCAGTTTGAGAATAGTGGAGGCTCAGTGCAAAGTGACTCTGGCTCCATCAGCTCTGGGGAACTGCCTAATACTTTTTTCACCACCCCATCTGCGGTCCGTGAATTTCAACCTATTGAGATACAGCAGGTCATAGTCTCTGAATGAAAGAAAAGCAAAGAGAAATGGAAAGTGCTCTTTCTTTAGTGGTGTCTTTTCCAGTGTCTTTTTCATCTTTAAGATATCAGCAGGGGAGTTTGAGTGGGGTTTAATTCCTTGTAAGGCAGTATTTGGAACAGGTGGATGTGCAATGGGTTGAAGATAATTCAGGGGACTCTTACTTTCAGAAACTATCCCAAGAAAACTCCTATCATGTGCTATGCTGTATGTCAGTCACTCAGGAAGCTTAGTGGTAAGCTACATATTTAAAAGCTAGAATCACAGGCCTTTGCAACTCTGTTTACAATTTCAGAAATTTGCTTGTGAGCAGACTGTAAAAGACAGTTCTGCTAGGAGGCACTCTGTATGTGTATTTGTGTTTGTTATTTGATGCTGGGTGTGTTCTCTTATGCTGTCTTTGCGGGAGTGCAAAGAAGGTGCCAAAAGATTATCTCCAGCTACCTTTTCAAGTGTTCTATTCAAAAGCTAAAAAAGTTTTCATAACAAGATAAATTTGTAAAAATCAACAAAGGGTGATCCATTGTCACTGGTTAATAAAAACAACAAATAAAAAAGACCATTTTGTCCCTCAATCATATTTGCCTGACATCAATTACCTTATCTCAGAACTCTTAACCTACAGTGTCAATTTTAAATCTTGTCAAAACAATGAATTCAGACTAGAACAATACAGGCCAGCTTGGTTGAGTCATTAGCAAGGCAGGTCTCCAATTCACAGAATAAACTCCTCCCCTCCTTCTGTCTTTCCACTCTAATTACTTTTATAGTCCAGTGCCAATCAGACTTACACAAGCACAGGGACAGTAAAGTGGCCTGTAGCCCCTCCCTGCCATCACCTTTCCCTGTTCAATATTACCCACATCATGTCACTCCAATGCAGTGTAACCCAAGGAGCTGCAGTTTACAGTTTACAAACACACAACTTGGCTAAGGAAAGGGGTTGCAGTGAGCAAGGTTGCCTGGAGTTTTTGTGTTGGTTCAGTATACTGTTTGCATATTGAAGTGGTCAAAAGCTAGACTCTTAATCCTTTTAAATTGAGATGGTTTAAAAACTTTAAAGGAAAAGTTGATTAAAGTAAGAAAGCAATCAATCAGAGTACAACATTTCTCTCCTTTTCAAGATGCATCTTTGTTGTTCAAAGAAAATTAGAAGTTTGGGCACAACTACCTGTCTTTGGGTTGACAGTAAGAAATTAATCCCCCCTCTCCTTATGAAAATCTCAGAAAGAGGTTTAACTTTCTATGGCTGCTCCTGAATGTACCTCATTTAGTTCTGAAAATATTTAAGGGAAAACCCCTTACATCTTTGATATGATCTCTTGGCATTATAATCTTCACAACACATTTATGAGGAAGGTATCAATTGTCCCATTTTACTGATAAGGAAACAGGTGTGATCCATCAGGTCACTTTCCAAAGACACATAGCAAGGAAATTGTGGATGCTGATGAGAACCCCTAGCTACATAGGATGTACCCTTTTTTATTCATTTTGGATTTGATTAGGTTATTGAAGTTGCCCACGGCTTCCTAAACACCACTCAAAGGGTAATTACCACCTACGAATGCAGCCTTAGCCTTTTGTTTTCCAGCTCCTTTACCCTCCTGGTCAGTGAATTTGGAGTTTATACTAATAATCTTAATAATGCCTTATATGTGTACAATATTCTATATTTTTCAATGCACTTTTACACCTGTTATATTATTTGGCCTCATGAGATATGCAAGAATTACTATTCCTATTTTGTAGTTTAAGAAACTAGAGACTAGAAAGGCTTAAACATCTTTGGTACACCAATTCTCTTAGCCCGGGTCTATGTGTTAGAGGATGGTGATAAGGATAGACAAATTTAAATTCCCATTTTCTTCAAAAATGTACTGACTTTCCGGTAAGTTGATGGCAAAATCTAGGACTAGAACTCAGGTGCACTGATTCAATGAATATTTATTGAGTGTCTACGCTGTGCCAGGCACTATACAAAGATTCTTGACTCTCAGGACAACACATTCTACTCAACCTGACTGCTTCCAATACGTTTTGGGTGGACTACATAGCATGCTGATTGTCTGGCAAGCCATATAAAGTGCTGAAAATAGAAAATCAGCATTGAAATGGGTCCTTCCAATCTAGTGGGGAGAGAGTAGGGGTGTTAATTGCCTATGTACACTCAAAACTTAATTTTCTTATCCCTAACACCCACTCCACAAAAGGTGTAACTTTGGCTATAGCAGTTGAATTTTCCTAGTAGTTGCTCTTTCTTTTTTTTTTTTTTTTTTT